CCATAATTAACCTCTGTGTTAGAACCATCCACCCATGCCCTAGTAATTGTTGTAACCCGTAGCCTCATCTGACCTTCAGGATTTTGATAACTGCAAGTAACCATCACATTGGTACTTAGTAAGATCTGCATTTCAACAAGAATGAAAGAAATATTAAAGAAGATAACACCATACTTTGTTAAGAATTGTATATATCAAAGAACAATTCACTAGGTGAAATATCAAAGAACACAGTCAAACAAGTACTTCTATCAAGACCACACATCTTCCATGAAGTTGTATTTCCTTGTCCTACAATGGTGTCAGCACAAAGAGCCCCCTTCAGCAAGTATCCAATAAGTCAGCACTGCATTTATTAGAACAGAAGAAAAATTAAAATATGCATCTCGTGTCAGAATAACTCGACAAAATTTTAGTCTCTAAACCGGTCAACCTTCTCCATAGATGTACATGGTCCGATAATTCCCTGAATTTTGACGTCCTTCGAGCAATTAATCTCAAGAGTGCCACTGGGATGAAAAATAAGGATCACAAATTTAGTACAAAACTGTATTTGTTAAATATAGTTAAGACTTAAGTGTATAGGAGTATAACAGAATTAGTAAAATATTCTACCAAATGTAGCAAAATAGCAAATTCTCCTTTGTCTCAACTCAAAGAATTTGGTCTGTTTATAATGATATTTATTACCTTGATTTATAAAAAGGTAAAAGGAAATATATGATACATGGCAATGAGAAGTGTGTTAGGAACAGGGTGGTTAATGGAACGGATGCCCCATAGATCAGATCAAGTATATATGGTTAACTAGCTTTTCCTAAGGAAAAGCATAAGAGAAATAAGAACGAATGACTTCTCACAATCTGATTAAAACAAAAGGAGCAACACTCAGACTCAAAAATAGAAGAACCTTCCAAGGATGAAACCAAACTAAACGATGCATATATGATGGAGCTTTATGAGTAATATAGAAGAAGGGAGTTATGGAGTTCACACTAAGTTCAAACTAAAGTTTCCTCTAACTTCCAGCAGGTCTATCAACAATACATAATGGAAGTAGAAATAAATGAATCAAATATGTCATGTCTTCACCATATTCTGAGGAGTTGTCACCTCTTTTTGGATTATAAGGTACTTTTTAGCAGTTTCTTTAAAAATAATTTCTAACTTTTCAGTATCTACAGGCTATTAGGTCCATCACAGCTTCCCCATCAATGGTACAGTCACATGAATCAAATTTCTGTACTAACAAATAAGTGAAGAATGATAATGTGATGTATAATGCAAGGGAAGGATGCAACCAACTTACTTAAAAGAAAGGCCTAGAGACTGCTCTCCATCCTCAAAAATTCGCTTAAAAGAAGAATCTTTGAAAACTGGATGTCCAAAACTTTCAGCGAGCACAACTAGTCCACCAGTTCTTTCAACTGCTACTTTCATCTCCGCAACCCCAACCTGAACATATTCAGAAAGGGTTAGAAAATATATTAAGCACTTCGACATCCATATAACTTCCCTCCTCGGGAGTACAGCAAGTAACTTTTGAAGTATCCAAATTTTAACCTACATCAAAATTTGACCTGCCTTGAAAACTAATATAGATGGATAAATGTCTTACATATTTTGCACGACATTAATAGAAAATTTTGTCAATGGTACTACAAGGTCCTAATAAGTACTGAAGTATCCAACTTCCAACAAGGACACAACAAACAAACCTGAAACGTTCACACATCATAGTCACTGGAACTGTCCTAGTGTAATGTTCACAGCGTGCTAAAATGACACATCTCATTATTACACAAATAGACTGACTACTTGTAACTTGATTTTGAAAACAAAAAATGACTTATTAGGTATAAAAAGTTAAAAACAATGAAGACAACAAACAAATCAAACCTGATCAAGTGCTGAAGCAAAAAGGTCCAAAACATGGCCCTGGCTAACCAGCTGCTTGGCAAGATTATCATAAAATTTAACAGCTTTGTGGAAATATGGAGCAGCATCTTTATCAAGATCTTCATGTGAACGAACTGGCTCTGATTGATCGTTTGACACAATCTGCAAATCATATCTACTGTAAGCCACAATGCTCGAAAATAAGATGAATAAGAGAGCTAGGTATTAAATTAAAATGGAAAATAAGTTCTGTTGGCCCTAAC